GTCCTGGTCAGGAACACGCGAGATCTGAGAGGGGATGTGGCTGGGAACATAGAGCGCAAGCAGAGTCTGTCCCGGCCAAATGTGAACCTGATCCCCATCAGCAAGGTGAGCAATGGGACAGCCAGTAACAATGGCCTGGTGACCAGGAGGGGCAGAATGGCAAAAAGGGCGAACTAAGTCCCTGACCTTAGCCCTTTGGTCTGGGGCCCTAAACCATCTAAAAGCTCCAAGAACTGGACGGCAATCGAGGAATCCGATTGGTGCCCCTTGCCCTAGCCTTACATCACCAAAGTTATCGGGAAGACAAGCAACTGCAATGTTGTTGCAAAGAACACCTTCGACCTGTACATCCTGCAGGGGCGGGTTGGCTAGCTGCACCTCAAGGAGTTCAGGCAGTAAACCGAGTTCGGCGGAGAATGCTTCCCGTACACTGTCGGTGTCTACATGTGCAACTGTGATGATGCGATGGCCGTTGTCAGTAAGTGCGAGGACATGATATCCAGGCGGCCCAGCAGGAATGACAGGAATGCGAGGCCACGCATGCGTTCTCCCAAGGAGAGCGGCAAGTTGCTGCGTCTGTGGTGGTAGACGCCCAATCCTGGTAATTCTGACAAGAACGCCACTTGCAATGGCTCTTACCTCATAGGTCCCTAGAGGGGTCTCCTGATCACCAAAGTAGACGTCAACTTCCTCAGGGCATAGATGGGCATATTTCGCAAGCGAGCACTTGTTTTCTCGCTCAGCAGCAAGTACGGCGAACGCACGATGATTTGCCCCAGTGCATTCATGTAGCAGGATGGGGTGCTGGTCAGGCGCCCATGAGGGCGTCGCAGTAAGAGAGACAAACTCTGCAGAGGGTTGCGGCCGAACTATGCTGAGTCTCCCATACTGTTCCTCATCATCAGGGTGGCGCCTCGCACGCACGGCATCAAGGAACACAGAGTTGCTGCACTCCGCATACAGCTGAACCTGAAGAGTCTCAGGGACAGTGTCAGGAGTATAGACAACACAAGTACAGGTGCTAGCGGCTGGTCCGTGTGGAGGGCTTGCAGCTATGATGGTGGTGGGCAAATGTACTGTGTCATCTTCAGCCCGGGAAAGAGCCGGAACTGCAGAATTGGGGCTGTCGACAAACGGAGCAACAGTGCATCCAGCGTATCCATAGCGGCGGGGCGAACGGCTGCGGGGCCGTTCATGTTGCTGGTCATTCTGTCTGGCATCAGCTGGTGGTAGCGGGGGAGCCCCGTCAGAGCTGCTGGTACTGCTGCTGCTACTGTCTGATGCTCCAGCATCGGATGGTGCTGGGTCGGAGTCACTTCCAGACTCGTCGCAAACAGCTCGGAAAACGAGAGTATCACCGGAATCAGTGAAAAGTCGGTCCCCATCTGTAATGCCTCCATAGATCTCAAGTTCGAAGGGCGCAGGCAAATCAAGGTGAAATTGATTCATGATGGCATGGATTGACCATTCTCTGCCTTGCTGGTACACGAAGTGGGGCCGAGTTCCGAGCGGGCGGAAGTCAAGGAATGTGAAATTGTCAGGTCTGTGCCGGGGGGCAGGCGGCACCGGCAATGGAGGAGGTAGTGCTACAGCAGCTGTAAGTCCGGCACACCTGGATCCATGCACGCAGAGATTCTGGATTGGCGGATTTTTGGCACGCGCAACTGTGATGGAATCAGGGGGCAGTCGAACACACTGAGCCGCAGCTTCCTGAAAGGTCATGCGTGGGAAATCAGAGCGATGAACAAACCATCTAGAAAATTCAAAGAGCAAACTCAGCCCAGGAACTCCGGAAGGTCGTGGGAGATCAGTGTGCTCTCTCCATGTTTGACGGCTGTCAAACAATTGCTCATGATCAATCCAGGTTCGTGCAGGAACCTGGGCGTGCAAGACAGTAATGAGAACGCCGTGTTCCAGTTGAACGGCATCATCATCTGCATGCGTTGCAAGCTGTTTGCCTATATAGAACGAAAAGTCGTCCTGGTCAGCCTGGAGCATCGGAAGCACGAAATTCCGAAGGTCAACGAACCGAAGCTGATTCTGAAGGACAGTCGCAAAGAGGCCACCCCCGGAGCGCGTCAAGTCAAGGACAACTGCAACTTGATCAAGATGGTCCAGCAGCCTGGGGTGCGCAACGAAGGCTGCGTGTCCATGATAGATCAGGGGATCAACCGGGGAGAGGCACTCGAACATGTCGAGTGGGATGTCAAGTGCACGGTGGCGAAGCAGCTTGCAGACCTCAAAGGGTCCCTCATGTGCCCCGACCTGAACCTCTAGGTTTACTGTCTGATAGTGTGGTGCAAACAGTTGCAGGGACAGGCGGCGAGTCCCTACTTCAGCAGCTGCCTCATCTCGGCCAGGTGGGCGCCACTCGGGGAACTCTCCATCGGGTGAGTCCTCAGTTCTTCGATCTCTGGGAGGCGAAGCGTCTGGCAAATTGGCCTGTTCAAGCTCTGTTGCAGCTATGCTCGGTACGCCATGTGGCGCTGCCCGGATACAATGCGGGAGGCGCAAGAAGATGAGCAACCAGATACAAAACCTGCTTATGATCCCTAACCGAAGGGGGCCTGGTGGCCGTGATGCAGCAAGTCGCACATTGGGTGCAACATCCCATTGTAAGGCAGAATGTCGTAAACTGCCAATACCAGCAAGAGCCTTTAATGATGCAGTGCTCTTTGTGCGTCCGAGCCCAAGTTTCCTGAAGACAAGGGAGCATCGGACGGGCTGTAGTAAGCACCCTTGTGCACTGACAAGCGAAAACAGAATGAAGGCACACATACTCAGGTAAATGGAAATGCCTTGGTGCATGAGCCACTTCTCAAAGTCGGCAATCCACTGCCACTCAAAATCTGCTGCCTTACCTAATTCAGGTTCGCAGCAGGTAGCAGCATGGTGTGTACGGCTGCAGCCAAAAGAGGCGCATTGCCCGTAGACGGCAGGTCCTGTTGGAAAGCACCATTCACTTGTCTGTGTTTTGCGGGCACCAGGACTAGGAACCCCTACACAAGGAGCAGGGAGGGGGCCTAAACCACAAGGGGAAGGGACAGTGGGAACCGAAGTGTCGTGCTGAGCAAGGAGCTCCCGGGATCCGTCAGAGCCTGTCGCGCTACTGGCGGGAACACAACAAAGTCCACTGTGAGCACCAGACACAGGTGCGGAGAGCAGGGCTGGACTGCAACTGACTAGCCAAAACCCAAGGCAGTCATTGCAGTGAAGGAGGACGGTGGAAGGAGAGAAGAGTGGAGGCCAGGCTGGAGCCAGAACCCAAGGGACCAGTAAGCCAACACTCTTCACGACGGTACACCGCTCAGCAAAACCGGCTGACGAAGCTACTGAATATGTACAATGTACACTCTGGCAACTCAGAAGTAGAGTCAAGCAAGGAGACAAATGACTGGCCGGCACTTGCCCGAAGGGAACTGAGAGGAGAACAAGACAGCGACCCAAGCTGGCTTGCTCCACCTCCGTTGGTCCCGCCAGGCGGCCATGACCGTCTTTTAGTCTCCCTGCTACTCTTCCGCAGCTTGGTCCAAATCGTCGGCTTCGCTTCCATTGAGCTCGTCGTCGTCGTCGTCCTCCACGAATTTTGTCTTTGAAGGATCTTCCCCTTTCTGCTGGTCGGTTGGTCCAGCAACTTGTCCCTCCGGAGGGATCGGGATGCCAAAGGGCGCCATGGCCCTCCGAGTGGCTTGCAGCCTCTCTGCAAAGCCGCCATGTAAGGAGGTCGTGGCCGGTCGATTCGCAGCCGCGGTAGGTTCCACCTGACCCTTTGGTTGTGGCTTCTTGTGGCTGCTGTCCTTGGGCTTGCCACCATAGGGAGAGGCTCTGGTATTCTCTGCAGGGGCCGCACCGTACGTGGGAGGCAACTCTGCCTGTGGGGTTGACATGGTTGGTGCCACAAGCCCTGGTGGCGTAGCCATGTAAGGATCTGTCGGCGGGCCACCAGGAAAGGAATGGTAGGCAGTGTGGTCCTGCACAGGTGCCGCGGTTGGTGGGGCAGGCGATCGGGGTGCCATTCCACGACTGGGCGGAGGCGTCTGAGCCGCCACACCGCCTTCTCCCATGGCTCTTTGCAAGACACCCTGCATGCCCACATCCTTCTCCTTGTCCCACTCCTCGATCATTGCATCCCAGGTGGTGTCCTCCTCTTGCTCTGTGACTTCCATGGGTGCGTCGTGAGCTCCTCTCACGGCAATGAATCGGACTCTCATTCTCGCATCGTGCTGCATCTGCCGTGCTTCCACAATGTCTCGTTCGAACACTTCCAAGGCCTTCTTGTGGCGATTCTTCTCTTTCAAGTACGCGGTCTTGGCCTTGCGAACCCACTCGTCCCATTGCCCCACCGACTTCTGGCGATCCTGAAGCAGTTTTTGCAGCTTGCCCTCTGCTCGTCGTGCTGCATTCAGTGCCTTCTGGAAGTCGGTCACCACAAAGTCGTCCTCCTCCAAAGGATCGACCACTACCACTTGGTTGCTCGCGGTGGCTGGCGTCGGATTGACTGACATGGCATCGTACGCTGGAAAGCCTTTGGCTTCTGCTGCTTTCCCCTTGCCTTTGCGCCACGGGGCATGTGGCTGTTGGGGAGATTTGGCTCCCTTCCACAAATGCCATGCTGGTGGCTGCTGCGAAGGCCAGGAGTCGCCATACCAATCGTCGTTCTGTCTGCCGCCTCGCCCCATGGCTGTAGTGGCACCTAAGCGATACCGTGGCTTCGAGTGGTGCTTTTCTAGCACCCTGACGTCCTTTGGACGAAGTGGTAGGAGCAGGGACCGCCTTTTGGCGATTCGTTTTCGGGCCCTCGCGCGAGCGGCTCTCTGCCGCCGATGCCACGGAGGTGACCCTGAAATCGTGCCTCAAAAGCACAATGGGGCTGCTAGCAATCCTGCCGCTGTTGGCAAGTGTTCTGAGCCCTTAAGTTATATATATATATATACACACACCCTAAACCCTAAACGCTAAACCGAAGAGGGTTGTCTTGGGATTGGGGTTCAATGTCCGAGGTGATCGACGTCGTGTCCTACAACACTTTGTTGAAGGCCTACGTGCGCCACAGCCTCTTCGACCAAGCCTGCTCTCTACTGATGAGCATGCGCCAGAGTCTCAGAAACCTTACCTTCGGTTAGTAGGGATTGCAAGAATGGTAGTAATGGTAGTCATAATTGTATCCCATTCCTCCTTTCCCTACTAACCAAAGGTTAGAAACCCGAAATCTCAAACCCTGCAGAAGGCCTGGGGTCCAAATACTCTGGTTTGGTCTGGGAACTGATGGCAGCAAAGGCCAGCAAAACACAACGACAGCAGCAAGAACTAGCAATACTGATCGTGAGAGCAACGACTGATAACACGTGTTTGATGCAGTACTTGGAGGTTCATGGGTAGTTATAAGTAGGGTTATAATTAGGGTAAGTATGCTTATAACTCATATTAGGGGACTTTTAACCCAGCTTATATCTACCCATGAACCTCCAAGTAGGGAGTTCTCGGTCGCAAATCCTCCTGATTGTACTTTACGTCACAAGCCAAGAGACCTCAAAGCACGCAGAGACGTAACGCCCTTCACTTCCTTCAAGGGCCTCCTTGAGGGACAGGGTATGGGTGGCAGAATTTAGAACTCCTTCAATGATGTTTGCGCCGAAATCCAGGTTTAGATAGCGCAAACTCCTTCAGAGGGAGCCCACACACGTAAGAGCCCGAAAACCCTCAACCTTCAACCTGAAAGCCTAAACCCTCAGCCCTCAACCCGAAACCCTCACTGAGTCGGAGGCCAAGATGAGGTGCATCGACCGAATGCAGTGACCTACCACGAGCTGATCAGTGGCCTCCTTAAGGCCAACAAAGAGATCCACAGGACCTCTAGGGTTATGGTTTAGGGTTTAGGGTTTAAGGTTTAGGGTTTAGGGTTATGGGGTTGTGGGATTTGGGGTTTAGGGTTTAGAGTTTAGGGGTTGGGCACCAAAACTTCCGCGGAGTTGAAACACATTTTTTGCATCCTATCGATGCCGCGAGTAGTCCACGACCCCGTCATGCAGCACGCAGCCACGCCCCAGCACGCTATCAGGGAAGGGATGGACTGGATGGACCTTCAACCCAAAACCGAGCTACCCGGACTCTAAGCTTTCGGGTTTAGAGGGTGTAGCCCTGACGCCCTACCGCCAGCGAACCCTGAACCATCCCAGCTTGGGGGCTCCTGAAGGTTTCGGAGGGTGGAGTACTGAAGCACGGCTTGGGGCTATCCAGATTGGGCAAGATCCAGGTGGGTAGTTGTCAATATTAGGGTCCCTTTTTGGGTCCTTAGTATAATACGGCACCTAATATTTGGGGGACCCAAAAATGTTGTCAATATTAGGGTCCCGTTTTGGGTGCCCTACATAGTAGGTGCCCTATTATATTAGGGACCCACAGAAGGGACCATAATTTTGACAACTACCCAGATGGTGGGCTGAAGTAAGGAGGCTTCCTCTTTGCGAAGCATAGGTGGCGATGCTTCTTCCATGCAGCCGGGCTCAGAAACCTTCGACCGAAGTCTAGCTTGCGGAAGCTGACTAGTTCGAATCTTGTAGGTTTGTTGTGGTTGTGGATTGTTGAGGGCTTGGAGCCACCCGGAAGATGAAGGCAAGCAGCAGAAAGCCGCCCACATCAAAACGAGGCTCTACATGTCAAGCAGAAAGCGCGAACCTCCAGCCCTATGTCATGAAGGCTTGACTTGTACTCCCAAATGAAGACGCCAGTAGTGCATGGACTTCCAAAGTCTGGCAGGTTCCTCCACCGACCCACTGTCAACATAAGCCTGAAGCCTTCTTGCTACAACAGTATCCCGTCACGGTCGCTATGTACTTAAAGCAAAACGATGCCCCAAATCCCTACATTACAGTAAAAGCCAGAAAGTTGGAATATGATTATCCTAAACCCTTTATGGTAAATTATAGGGTATCCTACCCTGAAACTATATTCCAACTTTCTGGAGTTCCCTTTAGTTGGTGGTGCCGGTATACTGCGCTTCTGAAGCTTTCTGCGAGGACCCGGGCATGGGAGTTGGTCTCCGAGTCTCAGACAGCTTTGATGCTGGTGGGCCTTTTTCATGGGACTTAGTAACTATGGTTATAAATAAGATAACTATACTTATGATTGGATATAACCTCAGTTAGGGTACTTATAACTGTACTTACTAAGTCCCATTTGCAGGGAGCCAAAGACAAGTTTCAACAACACACGACTGTAGAGGCGGAAAGGCACATTGAGGGGAAGTCTACGTAGAAGTTGTCTCCCAAGAAGTTGTCGCTGGACCCTCATGTTCATTTGCTTGTTTCGGGGTCTTTTCATCCTGGGAGAAACCCCCCTAGCCTTACACCCTGAGCGCCAAATCCTCAACCTTCAATCAGCCCTAAACCAAAATTGGTAGCCCAGGAGATGCAGGCAGACCAGGTGGTTCCAAACAAGCTGCTCGTGGCCAACTTGCTGCGCAGCCTAAGGCCCTCCAAGCCTGCGGCTTTCGGGTTTCGGGTTTAGGCTTTAGGGTTTAGGGTTCAGGGTTTCGGCTTTAGGGTTCAGGGTTTGGGCTTTAGGGTTCAGGGTTTCGGCTTTAGGGTTCAGGGTTTCGGCTTTAGGGTTCAGGGTTTAGGCGTTAGGATGTTCCGGGGGCCATGAAAGGCCTTTCGGGCATTTACGATCGGTCTCGAGGCCCCTTGAATGTTCTGCGCTGTTTTTTTCTTGTTGGCGGGATGCTTGTGCGTTTTTTTTTTTGGGGGGTGGGTTTTGGGGTTTTGGGGTTCAGAGGGGTTCGGGTGGAGACTCCTTGGTTGCCGCCAGAGACTTCAAGAACTCGGGCATTGGTGGTACTTGGAGGTTCATGGGTGGTTATAAGCATACTTACCCTAATTATAACCCTACTAATGACTACCCGACTACCCATGAACCTCCAAGTAGCTGCTAACCGATTGCTTCAGCATCCCAGCGTCTGAGCGTCTGAAGCGCTAATCTGTGCAGCTTGACCGAAGCAGTTCGGGAACAGTTCAGGGGTTTTTAGGGTTACTCTGGAGTATGAGCGAGTATGGTCCCATTGCTACCCTTCAACCCTGTGTCCCAAACGGAGCCCCAAACCCTAAACCCCAAAACCCTTAAGATCCTATAGACCCCAAACCCTAAACCCTAAACCCCTGAACCCTTAAGATCCTGAACCCTAGACCCTAGACCCCAAACCCTAAACCCTAAACCCCTAAAGCCTTAAGATCCTAAACCCTAGACACCAAACCCTAAACCCTAAACCAAAAAAAGCCCTAAAGCCTTAGACGCCGGCTCTCCTTGAACGAGCTGAGACCTGGGAGGCCGAAATCCTACGGCTCCGAGGTCACCCGGGCGATGCAGCTGGTGGATGCCGTCCAGCATCAGGCGACCCTTTAGGGTTTAGGGTTTAGGGTTTAGGGTTTAGGGTGGTGGAGATATAGGGTTTGTAAACCATAGTAGGGTTTATAGGAGGCCTGGGGTTAGTGGCGGCTGAAGAAAGCTCAAGCTTCACGATCAAGGGGTTAAGATTCGCAGGGTGGTGTTCGGAGCTTCCGCTGAAGGCTTCGCGGGGGCCAAGCCCATGGGCGCCTAAACCCTAGACCCTGCGCCCTAGCCCAAGACTCCCTCAAACAAGCCCGAAACCCCACAGCCGAAGACCATGAATGACCCTTAACTTCCAACATTAAACGTCAAGATGTTTTAGATTCTTTCAGGGATTCGAACTTAAGGCCTTACAGGAAGTGGGTTCATGAATCAGAAGACTATGCCAGCTGGAGCCCAAATTTGCCGACCACGCCAGCACATCGTAAGAGCTCGGGTTCAGGGGGGTCAGGCTTTCGTGGGTTAGGGTTAAAGATTTAAGCCTATGGCAAACAATTCAGCAAGATTTCAGGTATGAGCGGCAATAGTGTTTTGTTCCTTGAACACATGAGGCAGAAGCCGTAAGAGCGGCTGATACAGAAGGCTGAATGATGAGGGCTACTTTTCAGATTCCTTTTCTGAGTATAGTATGATATACCCCAAGACCCTCTTGAAATTAATGAGGCCCCAACCCTAAACCCTAAACCCTAATCCCTAAACCCCAATCCCTAAACCCTAATCCCCAAACCCTAATCCCTAAATCCATATGGTGTAGAGCCTCCCCAGCTCTTCTGTTCGGGCCCCGGGCTCAAAAAGCCCCAAACCCTGAAACCCAAATCCTAAACCCTTAGCACTTAGCCCTGACACCTAAAACATAAGCCTTAGGCTGAACTTAGACTCTTCAAGCTGTTGAAGGTGGACGAAGGCCTTCTTTGCACCGTTCTGGAAGCCGGTGTGCGTGTGGGCAAGGCCTGGTCAAGTGGGCTTTCAAGGGTCTTGGCCCCTAACCTCCAAAGGTCCAAAGATGAAGAGATATAAGACTCAGAAGACCACGATGAGCAAGGAGCCAAAAAGTCTGCTGCCTGTGCTCTTGTCTAAAACTGAAACTTCGAAAGGCATGCAATCCTAGTTGAGAAACCGCAAAAGCATTGCCGCTACTCGGTGCCTGTACTGTGGTTTGTTGTTATGTGACAATCATGCTTCTTGAGCAAGCTGGCGCGACAAAAAATCCTTGATGTTCTTCCATGGCGGCGACCGTGACGGTGATGGCAAGTGTGAGAATGGTAATGAGGATGAGGATGATGATGATGACGATGATGATGACGGCGACGACGATGATGATGGCCACGATGATGCTGCGGCTGATCATGCTGGTGATGATGACGATGACGATGTTGATGCTGATGCTGATGCTGATGCTGATGGTGATGGTGATGATGATGATGATGACGATGACATTAGCAACACCAATACCAGTGCATGTTCCGCGTATTAGACGAAGCTACGGACCGTGATCCCTCAGCCGTTGAAGACGAAATTCCTCGTCTGCAGGTCCAAGTGGTGCAGAAGAAGCTGAAGACCTTCTATGGAGAGGGGGCGGAGTTCCCCGTGAAGGTGACCGGGGCCCATTCCTTTGGCTCCCTCATCAAGGCGCGAACCTCTGAAGATGTATGTAGGCTTCTCTATTGCTACCCAGCCATACCAAGAGTAGGACTCTTTTTACACCACTCCATGCAGTTCCTCGGGGCGCAAAAGGCTGCAAAAGCTCCCGGACTCCTAAGCCCTGAACTTGGAGACTTAAAGCCTCGAAGCCTACATACTGAGACTTCAAGTCCCCAAACCCCCAACCCTCTTCCCTGCACCTTAAACCCTGAACACTGATCCCTACACCCTAAACGCTACTCCCTAAAAACCCCGAACCCTAGACCTGGCTTCTCAGGCCTATGGCTTCGTGAAGGATGTGGCTGGTGCCTGGGCTTGCTGGCGGGAGATGTCCATGCTGCGTATTCAGCCACTTCGGCGATGATCTTCTGTGTGCTTTTGGTTTCGTTTTAGAGGGTTTGTCTGTTCTCAGATTTCTTACCCTCTGTGAAACGTTTTGTATATGTAGGGATATGTTTCTTCCTTGGGTTCAGGGTGCGAAGTTTCAGAGTTCAGTGTTCTGAGGTCAGGAGTTTGCGCATGCTGGCCGTGATGTTTTGCCTGTTTCTGGACCGCTACTGTTGAATAGTACTTTTTGCCAACGGATTCTCGGCCACCGTTGGGAGACTGCATCTATTTTCTTTTTATTCGCATGAGCTTGCGACCATGGGGTGACAACTTGTTTTTGATCTCTTCCATCCCTTGGGTCCAGGAAGCCAGGAGGTGGAAACTATTGACGAACATGTCTCGTGTTGCATAGAAGATGTGTTCAATACCTGAGTACTCCGCCCATGTTCAAAAACCCACCACGGGTTTGATACCATGAATGATACCTCTTAGTCCCAGATCGTAAAACATCTAGACGTGATCATTGTTTCGCAGCTTTTTGAAGCTTTGGGGCAGGAGGCTTTGCCCTTGCATTATTCGCCCCAAGCAGTCCCAACCTCTTGCCAGGGTTCTGCACATCTTATTAGCTGAACACTTCGGTTCTGGTAACTTATCTCGAGATCTGGTTATCTCCTGCATGTTCGTATTGTGGTAGCTCAGCTTAAGCTCTCTTATCAGGGGACTTGTAAGTTCAAGAGTTCCAGGCAGCCCCTCGCTGGAAGTAGCCCTAGGATTGCTCTTGGCTCTTAGAACTGCAGATCTGCGCTGCAGTTCGGGCCAGGGGGGTGCGGGATCGAAGGAGAAGACCAAGTTCTGGAGGTAGTAGCCCGCTGATGGACAAGTTCCGCTTCTTTTAAAGCCTTAAATGAGGATTTTGGCAGGGGATCCGAATCGGGAGGCATCGAGAAGTTTTCTGGGACGGGGTGGCATGATGGAGTGCGGTCCACCACTACGGCGACCGAGGCCCTTGACCCTGAGCTCTAAACCCAAACGCGACTTCAACTTCGACGGTGTAAGAGCAGAGAGCGAGCGCATGCGAGGCCTCGTAGGGTGACCAAAAGTCATTGCCATGGAGAGCTTTTGTTCGCCGTCAGAAGCGTTTTTGCCTTAGGCATGCCCATCAGTGGCGGGCACTAGACCTGCAGTCACGGGGAGAGAAAACAAGCTTTAAGCCTCCAATTAAGAACTACTCTACTCTATTCTACTACTAGTACCAGAAGATCCCCAAGACCCAGGCCCACGAACATCACCCTCGGCTGCATGGTGGAGGTCCCTTCTTGCGTTTCGTGCGGCTTAGGTTCGACTTGAGGTTGACCCTTCAGGATTCTTTAGGGTGTAGGAGGGTTCGAAATTATAGGGGGTCTTAATAGTTAGAATAGGGTTTTCTTGACCCCAAATTAGTATAGTTTAGGCTTCTGAATGTGGGTTTTGCAAGGCTCAGCGTATCTGAACACCTGAAAACCCTAGACCGCCAAGCATCAAGCTAAACCCTGAACTGTAAAGCCTACCCCCTATAAACCGTAAAACCGAAAGAGTTCCCTGTTCCCCTAGCCGAATGGCCTTCCAACTGTGGATTGCAGGCGGAAAAAGGAGCCCCCCAAAAAAAACCTTTCAGCTACTTAGCACTCTTCTGGGTTTTCAGGCGCGCTTTCGGCTGGCGGGTTCTGTCCGTCCGGAGGCTGTGGCGAGCAACGGCGACGTCGATGGAGCCCACGAGCTCGTCCAGAGGCACTTCTGGGTTACAGGGGTTTAGGGTTTAGGGTTTAAGAGTTTGGGTGTTTAGGGTTTGGGGTTTAAGAGTTTGGGTGTTTAGGGTTTAGGGTTTAAGAGTTTGGGTGTTTAGGGTTTAGGGTTTGAGATTTTAGGGTCTTGATGGCTTGTGCGGATTCGAATTTTGGCTTCAGGGCTTCTAGTTGAGCATCTGAGGACAAGGCCTTCAAAACGACGGCAGCTCAGATCCAAGACGCTAGCTTCCAAAATCCAAATTTTTCATGTTACTAAAACCCTGATCCCCGAACCTTAGATGCTAATCCAAACATTAAATGAGAAACCACCCCATAAAGAAAAGAAGTCCCTATATCCTGGAACACTTGAGACTTCACAAAATAGGTTTGTTTTTGCGACAACACAACGTGCTTAAGCTGCATGACAGCTGCGTGGTGTACTGGATGTTTGTTGAGAATGCGGCCGCGCAACGAAGACACATCAAGAAACTTGACTCTTTGACCCTGGAACCACGGGGATTGCGGTTTCGGTTTGAGGGGTGAGGGCCTCGCGTCAGGGCTGAGGCCTAGGGTTTGGGAATCGTCGCGAGGACGCATTGACTACACTAGTCGGACCCTTCTAGATTCTACCCGAAGCCCAAATGCTCAGCTCTGAACCCCTAATCGGCCCTAATCCCAAGTTGCAAGTCAGTCCCCGATAATCCCACAACCCGCAGCCCTGTCTCCCAGACTACAAATCCTGAATACAAGCTAAACCCTAAACCCCAAACCGTACAGCCTAGAACCTAAACCCTAAACCCTAAACCCTAAACCCTAAACCTCTCTTTCATATGTATATTTAAAGGTTAATGGCCTTAGTGGTTTGGGTCCCTCGGGGGCCTGCTCGACCACTTTGCAGGGACCCAAACCACTAATTTGGCAGTGCTTTCCGGCCTGAACACTGCCAAATTAATGGTTTGGGTCCCTCGGACCACCCCGCAGGGACCCAAACCACTAATTTGGCAGTGCTTTCCGGCCTGAACACTGCCAAATTAGTGGTTTGGGTCCCTCGGACCACCTCGCAGGGACCCAAACCACTAATTTGGCAGTGCTTTCCGGCCTGAACACTGCCAAATTAGTGGTTTGGGTCCCTCGGACCACCCCGCAGGGACCCAAACCACTAATTTGGCAGTGCTTTCCGGCCTGAACACTGCCAAATTAGTGGTTTGGGTCCCTCGAACCACCTCGCAGTGACCCAAACCACTAATTTGGCAGTGTGTCCGGCCTGAACACTGCCAAATTAATGGTTTGGGTGCAGTGTGTCCGGCCTGACACTGCCAAATTAGCGGTTTGGGTCCCCCGGACCACCCCGCAGGGACCCAAACCACTAATTTGGCAGTGTGTCCGGCCTGAACACTGCCAAATTAGTGGTTTGGGTCCCTTTTGACGTGAAGTCTGCAAAATTAACGATTATTGTTGGGATGCGGCTTGCGCAACGAGTTTTAGAGTATAGTAGTGGCTTCTAGGGTTTTAAGGCATAGTTGGTCGGCCTTTAAGGTTTAGGAAGAAATTGTATATTGTTCTAATGTTTTGGGATTCTTTGGGCGGGTGGGTTTTTTGCTACTACACTGCTGGCCTAGTGATTTCTTAGCCCAGCTAATCGTAAACCCTAAACCCTAAACCCTAAACCCTAAACCCGAAACCCTGAACCCTAAAGCCGAAGGCCCGCTAAAGCTTAAGCGAGTAGCCGGCTGCAGGCTCTTGGAAGATCCGGAGACGAAGTCGCAGGCCCCATCAGGGATCAGAGGCTTTGGGGCTGTTGGGTTTCAGGGTTTCTGGGTTCTGGATTTTTGAGCGTGGGCTTCAAGATTTGAGGGTTTGGGGGCTTTAGGGGCTTGAAGGTTTTTTCGCTACCACCCAAACCCTAAACTTTAAACCTTAAGCCCTCGCAGGTCAATGCCGTCATCTACGGCTCCATCCTCAAAGGCTTCAGCCGCAAGAAGCGCCGCTGGGCGGCGGAGTCCTACACCCTAAGCCCTGAGCCCTAAGCCCTAAACCCTAAACCCTAAACCCTAAACCCTAAAGTCCTGAACCAGACTGTCTGGTTCTTAGCTCTGTCATAGTTGGGTATCATTTTACATCTTTATGGGTACTTCAACCCAAGAAGGAATAGAAATGTACATTTTCATTCCTATGCCAACCATGAACCAGTTGGTAGGGCATGGGGGAATGGGTTATATAGGGACTACTGTAGGGATCCATTCCCCCACTCCCTACGTAGAACCAGAGCCGAAGCCCTTAGACGTGAAAAGCTCCCGTTGTGAAGGTTTGTTATGATTTGACCGGGTCTTGACGGGTTTGGTTTTCAGGGGACCCTAAACCCTAAACCCCTAAACCCTAAACCCCTAAACTCCCTAAACCCCTAAACCCCTAAACCCCTAAACCCCTAAACCCGAAACCGTGGCTCTGCCATTGGGGGCTGAAGCTGGCAGTCCGAAGCACCCTTTTCTGACTTTAACCCCACGCCCCGAAGCTCCAAACCCTAAAACTGAAATCCAATCGCGACGTAGGTTTTGAGAGACTGCATGCGAGTGTGCACCGTAAGGGTTCAGACATCATGCCAAAAAAACTGAAATCCCAAAATCGACACCCGGAAAGAACCCCATCGCGGAAACGTCCAAACTCCAAGCACAAAACTTTTAACTCAGCAAAGGTATGGACCGGGTCTGGGATGCCTTCAACGAGATGCAGGCGTACGGAAGCTCGAAGCATTTAGAGCTGTCACCTCGCAGCATGTGGACTGCTTAAGGCTTTGGGTTCACGGTTTAGGGTCATAAGAACTGGAATCAAAATCAGAATTGATGAACGAACATGTAGCCGAAAAGTTAGATGCTGGAACTTCAGGATACCTCAGTGGATAGATGGTCAGCAGCAGCAGTACATCCGAAATAGCGTATACTAGTACTCAAAGCAGTGCTACTTTTGTAGTCAGACGGAGCCTAACTGTCCCAACAATACCAAACCGGCTAAAGACAGTATCAGCAGTAAGAGTGGTGCTGACATGCTTAGCCGACGGAATGATACTACTTGCCAAGACACGGATCGCAGAAAGAACTGTGGTGCAGCAGCCAGGCTGAAAACAGTCATGCTGATCTTGATGATGATGGTGGTGATGATGACGAGCATCATTATCATCAAATCTCTTCGTCATCACCAGCATCATCAGCATGTTCAGCATCATCAGCATCATCCTGCTGCTGCCCATGACGACGATGATGAAGAAGATGGTGATGACTCTGGTGACGATGATGGTCGTGGTGATGTCGAGGATGAATGGAACACTGATCGACTTGTGAGCATCCAGACGGCTTTCGAGCTGTTAAGAGTAGTTGCTTCACCAAAGATGCACAGGCTTACACTAGAGTTCCTGTCACTATGCCCAGCCTCACCAACTTTAAACGGAAGAGGCGGAACTTTGCTATTTGATGAAGCCCATACCACATAATCACGAAGTGCATGCACGTTTCTGCGGGAATCTTTTGCGAAACTTCGTAGAACCAATAAGAACGAGAAGAGCGGCACCATCTCCGACAAACAGGGGCTTGCAGTTCCTTGCTGTTAGCTCGTGTTCGGCTAAAGTCTGTAGTTTCCGGGTCGGAGAGTGTTTAGAGTTCTCTTGTGGAGTAGGTTTCATGGAGATTTGGCTCGAGTTGCTGCAAGTTTGCAAGGGCTGGATTCGGGGCGTAGGGTTTTGTTTCGGGATGGTTAGGATTTCTGGGTTGAGGGTGTCTTGAAGACAGATGCTTCAGTCGGACTTTGCACACGCGGTGCAAACCAAGCCCCACAGTCCGCACTTCTCCACCGTTTTGCAGTCTGCGATCAAACCCTCAACCTCCGAGGAATCACCCCGACACTCATGAGCTTCAACGCAATCCTTGATGGCTGCGTGCGCAACGATGAGGTTGACAAGGCGCATAGCCACGGAATTACAAAAGTTGAACGAGCAGGCACAATCAACAATAGGCACCTCCGAGCAGGAACTTTTGAAGGGCTAAAACAATCTAATGACGACGGTGGTGATACCGATACCAACAACAGTCATAACATCAGTACTACTGCTGACCCATCGTAATGCTCAGATTGCTCGCAACCGCGATCGACACTGGCCCACGAGGACGAAAGCAATCACAACACTAACATGAACGATCGGGTTGCTGATGGAAACCTGGATGCATCATGGTCATGAGACAGTTCGGAACCTCAGGCAGGCACACCTCGGTTTAGGTTGTTGCGGTTTAGGGCCTTGGTTGTGGGTTTAGGGTTTAGGATGAAGCCGCTAAATACACCAAGCGCTTCTGCCAGATTGGCGGCTTACTTACCACCATGCAGCAGTATGGCTTCAAGCCGAACCTGATCACCTACAGCACCCTGATCAAGGCCTTGGGATAGAGACAGTGGGTCCTGTGGCTGGGAGAGCTTGCGTTCAGAGGAGGAGCCGGGAGTTAAAGCAGGGTTTCCGTTTGGGGCTTCGGGTTCAGGGGCTGGGAGCTTCGGTTGACGTTTAGGCATCACTGAGGGGCCCCATCCTGCTAACCAGGCCTTGCAAAGATGGGCAATGAATGCATCGGGTTTTCCAGCGTCGTGGGGCTTAAAAGCCAAGCTCGAAGCCTTGAGACCTAGGTAGTGAAACTGCCTGCAGCCGCCGGTAAGCATATGCATTAGCTGAGAGCTGGGTGTCCTGGCTCCTTTACTTGTTGGTATTGTCGGGGTGTAGAGCTCAGATAGAGCGAGGGTATACAAACTCTGAGGCTGAGGATTCATGCGGGGTTAAGAGGTTTGGGCTGTTTGAATTCTCGGATTTTGGTAACCCTCGCCACCCGCAGCCCGGCGAAAGCTGTTCGGCCGCTGCATCTACGAAGACGCTCACCGCAACAGAGCCATGGCCCTATCTCAACTTGCGTACCGCCTTACCTTTATTGACGTGATGGATGGCAAGATGGATGGTGCAGATCGTCGTGCTCGGGCCCGTAGCCTCTCGCCTGCTCGGATGTCGGTGGCCAGCCGGGAGCCTCTCGTGCAGGACATGTGGGCACATCGTCATCTTCGCACTCTGCGGCAAGGGCAGAATGCAACGGTCGTCGATGCACCGGTCCCAAGTCGGGGCAGTGTCGGACACCCGACCTTTTGCAAAAGGCCATGCGTCTCTACCGCAAGGCGGGGGCACTGCCAGAAAGGTTCGGCATGTGGCTGTTGCCACTATCAGCACGATGACCCGAAGCCGGACAAGAAGCAGCGTCTTTTGATGAACACCATGCCCAGGGCAGAGTTGCTCGGTCTTTTCGCAGATCTACTTCGGGAGCGTGCCGAGCAAGAAGGACTCCGTGATGTGAGCTTTGTGGTGGCAGTACCTCGGTCGATTCAGCGCGGCTTGCTGTCATCATAGGAATGCTGCTCCATGGGAGATTTGGGCTTATGGTTTAGGGAAGAGGGTTGAGATCAGGCAGGTCTTCGGGGCTTTCGGTGTTTGCAGTTGCGTCCCGACTCAACGCTAAACCCTGCGCCCATGACCCAGGAAACCCAACGCCCCGGAAACTGGAAAGCCACAAGCCCACAACACAGACAAGGTGCTTTCCGTCCATGCAGGACTTCTTGCAGGTCGTTTGCAGACGAAGCCTCGCATGCTTCACAACCTGCGACAGGTCCGCAGTTTACGAGTCATGTTTGTGATGATCTACCCTCCAACTATTCAGCACAGCATTTGGATTTTGGGCAAAGACGCTCTTTAGGGGAATAGTTACGTTTGGCTTGAGCTGGTCATGGCGGTGTCGGAGACAGCTCGAGGTTTCAGTTTTCAAGCGCCAGGTGCTTCAGCGCATGAACTTCTCCGGCATCCTATCGATGGCTGCGCACAAATGTGCAGGCCGCAGCAAGGTCGTGATGCTGCAGGAGTTGAGTGCTCTGCAGCAGAGTGCCAGGTGAAAGGTGACTTACTTCTCGGTCTTAGAGACCCGCCTGCCGCATCTCAGCTATCGCAGCTATCCGCGCAGCACCTTTCAGATGCTATCATCGGTCGGCAGCCACGTAGCACAGTCACACATAGAGGCAGATATTCACATGGGCATTTCTTCAGGAACATCTTGCAGAATCGGTAGGCGGGCGCATTCGATATTGCGGCTTCTCATCGTCTCGAACAGAGACCATGGGAAGAAGGCGGTGCTTGGGAACAGGTAGACTGATGCTGAACTTGAAGTCCTATATAAGGGCTCTCAAGCCTAAGCCCGAAACCCTAAAGCCTATTTCCGAATCCCTTCTTTTCTGAAACTCCCATCCGTGTCTTGCCTGAAGCGTGGGATTCTCAATTGTAATCCGCGCACAGAGGCCCTAGCCGGTCATTCATAGTCTTTCATCTCTTCGGAGACGTGCTCTCGTCGGTCCAGCAATGCCCAGAAGTGCTTTTAGAAATTATGGGTACTCTATTCTGGCCTGCTTACAGATTACAAGGATCTTACATGTTTAGGACCTGTTTTCGGGCCCCTGTTTTCTAAAGCTCCCATCTAGACGGGCACAATGCAGAACGTGGGAGCCATTCTGGGACTCCACCCGTCTGCTCTGCTAGCAGTGTGCTGGATGCTCCCTTCAACGAACATTTTCAGCAAGGAGTGCTTTCGAAGCCCCAGTTGGCAGCTATGTTGCATCCGCCCCAAGGGCTGCTACAGACCTCAAGAGAACAACGTTTCTCTAGTGAGTCCGATCTGCCTTGCTCTGAAGTGGCCCCCTTCAACAGAGCCGGGAGGCGAGTTGCGATTCACAACTGCCGCCTAGCCCCCCCGAACTGTTTTGCTTGTTTGGATAACGTCCTGTCGCGTAACGCTCACACTGGAGACTAAGAGCCTTCGACTTGCGGATCAGAAGCTTCCGGACGACGCTGTGAAAATGGTTGGGTTCATGCTTTGGAAGTCTTTTGCTCTCGGAAAGCCGCATCTAAAGATTGAATGAACTGTGAAAGGAGACAGCAGGGCGATGCAGTGACTCAGCCTTAAGCGTTTGTGCCGTTTCGAGTTTAGGGCTTGTGGGTCAGGGTTATCCTCGGCTTCGTAATTCGGCTGATAGGTGTACGGTGCCAGGATTTTGATGTTGACTCCAAGGTTCTGCGGTCCAGGATTTAGGGCCTCACGAGTTTGGGTCTGCGCCCGATAAGGTTACTTACCTGCAAAATGTTCAGATTTTCAGGTTTGGGATCTTGGGAAGTTGGGACAGAATCGGAGTTAAGTAGGTCACAGGTTGAGCCGGGGCTGTGGATGTAGGTCGAGGTAGACGCCCAAGAACTCACCGATGAAAATAGATACAGGAATGCCAAGCTTGTAGGCTTTCTAGGGACAAAGCTTGTGTTGATGACTGAACTTGATAGGTGCACAGGAAGGAAGTCAACGGCAGCAGAGGTAGTCTGAGCAATCGCAGCATCATATACCCCAAAGCCCCTTTCTCATCATTCAGGTCCCTATATGAAGCATCCGAAGCCCTCCCGACCTCGAAACCCGGTACAAACCATGGACCACATCGCAATCGTAAGGGCAAAGAAGCACACCTCCATCAGAGCCTGCCGCAGTTTATGAGCAGCAGAATGACAGAATGACAGTTGTGTCTGTGATCACCAGAGCCGAACCCTTGTCCTCGAACTGCTGAAATGTATTCGACATCTTCAGCAAACTTGTCCCAGACACGATCCTGGCTTGCAATCCCGGGATGCAACATAAACCCTTAACGCTTTTAGACCTCAGTTACAGCCCCTAGACTCGACACATAAACCCCTAAACCCTGAACCCTAAACCTGCTAAACCTCCAAGTAAGACATGTGGCCTTTGTGACGTCAGTTCGGTTTGTGACGTGAATTCGGATGGAAACCCAATTAAACCTCGAAGCATGAAGCCTGAATCGGAAGCCGTGAAGCCAAAACCCTCAACCAAGGGTCAAGTTTTGCCATAACGAATGAACGGAACAGGAAAATACAATGCCGCAAAGCAAAGCCCAACCCTGAAGAGACTGCAGAGCATCCCTACAATGATCATAGGGATCCTTAGGGGTGTAGGGGGGAGGGGTGTAGGGGACTTAAATAGGCCTTATTAGTCCTTATTATGGGCCTTAAGGCCCCCTACCCCCCCTCCCCCTACACCCCTAAGGATCCCTATGAAATGAAGCTCCCGGGCTAGGGCTACTGCGCCGCCGGAGACATGCAAAGCGCCTTTGAGGTTGGACTTCTTGACATTTCGGATTGCTATAAGGTTTAGGGTTTAGGGTTTAGGGTTTAGGGTTTAGGGTTTAGGGTTTAGGGTTCTGTAGAGGAGTTATTTCTATAAGGATTTCGGCTGAAGGACTTTAACCCCAAAATACCGAAAACCCTAAAACCCTGAATCCCTTAAAGGTGGAGCTCTGGGGCACAGAGGTTCTGGGTTTAACAATCGCTGCCCGGTGCATGATTCACCCACCCGAAACCCCAAGATCTGCTCCAGAGCTTCTTGCATAAATTGAGCCGTGAGCCTCAATCTTGTAAAGGCCCCTTCAAGCATGACTGAGCTTGCTTCACCACTTCCTGAGATACCACAGGGAAAACTTAACTCCTTCGAGCAAACCTTTGAAGAACTGGGCTGAAGCGGTGGATAGCGCATGATACTGCTTTCCATACTACAACGTTTCAACTGCCCACCCGTTAAGTAAAATCGTGGAACTTTCGGGACATGATATTGAGACGAAGAATGAATGCACAGAACAATAATAAGAATAGCCAGGAAACCCCAACTCTGCACTCTCCTAAGGCTTGAACTCCATGCATAGAAACCCCAGAAGCCAGAAGCCCTAGCTTCAACCCCTATGGAACCCTGGTAGTGACGCGTGTAAAACCCTTATGTATGGTTTACGGCCTTTCTGGTCACCTTTTTACGAAAAGGACCGGCTTAGGGGTTCATGACGCTTAGGGATTTTTGGAAGGTTTTTATCAGCGGTTCTCTACAACGGCCCTCTATAACCAGGTTTTATAGGAGGCTTTATGGAGTTTCGGTTTGTTTCCAGGGTGCAGGGTTTAGGATTTTGGGATCTTGTGTTGCGGATTTAGCGCTTAGGATTTCGGGTCCACTTAAGGGGTTTAAGGCTTTTCGGGCTTCTCCTCTCAAGCAGGTCTTTCGCGAACTCCGCTCCGGTTCTGAGGCTCCGGACGAGGTCGTGTTCCCTGGCGCACAGGAGGTTTGAGGGCACGTGTGAGAGTGTGTTGGGTTCCTAGATTCTGGTGACCAGGAGGTGGTAGAGGGGGGGGGTTCCCTCCAAGTCAAGCGTTTGAAGTTCAGTCGTAGATACTCAGGGCTTGCGGAGTCAGGAGTTCCTGTTATGACAGCACTTGCAAAGCAAACGTTAGCACAACACATCCCAAGACCGAGGCCCCAAAGGCCGCAAGGGCAAACTAAACACTATGCTGAAAACTTAGATAGTGAACGGGAAACTTTAGACTTTTTGGCCTTCTATATTAGCTCTATCTTAGGAAAGTTTGAACTTTATGGGGCCCGGTTGTTGAAGAAGAGAGAAAAGCAGAACATCATATGCCCTCAGAGCCCGGATCTCTACACACCAAAATCCTGACACCCGAAATCCTAAACCCTAAACCCCGGACCGTCTGAACCCTAAATGCCGGACCCTCCGAGCCCTAAACCCCAAACCCTCTTAACCCTAACCCTAAGCCTTGTCATAGTTGGGCAACATTATGGGTACTTAAACCCAGTAAGGAATAGAAATGTACATTTTTTATTCCTAGCCCAACCATGAACCAGAAGCCCTGACCTACATCATGAAGGTACAACACCCTCCAAGCCCTAAACCACACCCTTAACCCCAAGCCGTGACCAAAATCATGAAGGTATAACACCCTCCTTGACGGTTGTTTACAAGCCGGCCTGGCCGATGAAGGCCCCAAATATCCATTCGTTTAAAGAGGCAACTGGGGTTTAGGGTTTGGGATTTAGGGTTTAGGATTTCGGATTGAAGGCTCATTTAGGATTTCGGATTTAAGGCTCATTTAGGGTTTTGGATGCAGGGTTTATTTAGGGTTTGGGATTTAGAGGTTTCGAGATGTTAGCTTTCGATAGGGTTGTTCAGAAGTTATGGGTTAGGCTTTATGGATTGAAGGGTGTCGCGTTGAGGTAGCTGAGGGGATCAGCTTTTTTTGAGGTTAGCTGCCTATGGCTTCATAGAGGATTCATTGGTTTGTGTGGGCTTTCAAAAAGGAGCTCCCTAAAGCCCTATCGTGCAAGCGCGTTTACGTGTTCTGCCGCAGGGGGTTCAACGTCAATCGAGCCTTACTCTAGCCGCCGGAACTTGGTAGTCTCCTAAACCCTAAATTCTAAACCCTAAATTCTAAACCCTAAATTCTAAACCCTCAACTTAAACCATCGTAAGCCCTAAGTTCCAAAGCTTCAGCCCTGAACTCGAAACCCTGAGCCCTGAAGCCGAAGCTTCCAAACTCCCCCAGCCCAGCCCTGGACTATGAGAGGGCTCTCCGTTTAAGAGGCTTATCTGGGAGTTTCCGAAAATTTAGGGGTACCGTATTTTGGGGTCCTTTTAAGAAGGATCCTACTATTTAGGGTACTATATTAGGGTCCCCTATTTCCGGCAACTCCCATTTTGATCTGAAGCCGCCATGCCCCAACCCCTCAAACGCAAAAGCTGCGTTGGAAGCTTAAAAGAAAATTCTTCCGGGACGTCATAAGAGCCATGAGGAAGAAGCCGTCTAGAACCCTATAAGACAGGGCCCCAAATCCCCCGAGCCGACTCACCGATTCACCGATGAGGGGAGAACCTGGTGGAGACCATGATGGATCAGGGTTTAGCACCCAGCGTCTACACCCTCAGCTCGCTGGTGAAGCGCCTGGGGCAGGGAAAAGACCACAAACAATTGGAGCTCCATCTTTGTTGTTTTTCCTTGATTTTGGGGGTTTGAGGTTGCTGAGATTGGGGGCATCTGGGGATGCGAGGTGTCGGGGTTAGAGGTTGGGTGTTGTGTTCAGGGTTTCGGCGTAAGGGTTCGGGTGTCGGGTCCGAGCTTCAGAGTGTAGGTTGCTTTTGGGTTCAGGGGTGACGGTTTAGTCGTTGAGATTACAGACAACCCAATGCCTCCAATGCCGCTTGCTGAACGACGGTTCCTTCACTTATCTGTGCCCTTTGGGAGCTTCTTTCTTCGAGCAAGGGGCACCCTAAACCCTAAACCCTAAACGCGAAACCCAAAACCCTAAATTGGGGGTTTTCGGGGCTGCGACCGGAGTTGGTCTTGTGTTTTGCTTTGAAGAGCTAGGATCCTCCAAAGTTTTATCCTAGTCCCAGACCTCACACCCTGGGTCCTAGGTGCTACATGGGTGGTTGTCAAAATTGTGGTCCCTTTTTGGGTACCCTAAGTATTAGGTGCCGCAAGATAATAAGGACCCAAAAAGGGACCATAACTTTGATAACCACCCACATCCCTCTCTCGACCACCAAATAAACTGCTTAAGCTTGTCGTGTAGAGCCCCGAAGTAGCGAACTTAGAAAACCTTTCGCTTAAAGGGGTCTCCCAGATCGTCGTTCCCCCTCCAAACCCACTCGTGGATCCCTAATGGCCCTAAGTTGAAGGGATCAGAAGCTTTAACCTAAAAGCCATCAGATTGCCTTGAATTTCAGCCCTAAACCTCCAACTTATTCTAAGCCGCAAGGGGCCAATTCCTCAACCAGAAAGCCGTAACCCTCAATCTGCTAAGTAAGGCGCTGAAGCTCTAAACCCGAGGGCCCAGATGCCTCTTCGGCCCTTACAGAACCTGTAGAGAACTCTGACAAAACCCCTGGTTCCCTAAATCCTAAACGCTGAACCCCTGAACCCCCAAAAAACTACACTGAGAGCTACTCCAAAGGATCCTGGCTGGCGCCAAGAGGTTGGATCGCGCCTTCAAGTCTGCCGGCTTTGTTTCGTAGTTTTTTTTTGGAGAGGGGCGGGGAGCGGGGAATCGAGATTTTAGGCAGCCCCCGAGGGGTTGGGTACGGGGCTTAGGTTCATGTACGCCTGGGTCCTTTCGGGTTAAGGTTTTAGGGTGCAGTCCGGTGGTTTAGGCCGGTCCACACAAAAAAGACTGTCTTCTCGAACCTGATTGTGAACGCGAAGCTGCACACTAACCTGTAGGCATTGAGCAAACCCGGACAGGTCCAATGTAGAAGCCGAATGACCTCATAGTGATTATATAATCACGTTCTGCTACCCCAAAAACCCTGTCTAATGTTAAAGGCCCCTTTTTTCTAACTCCCATCCCCCTGAGGGTCTGCGAGCACGCCTCTTCTCGCTTCCGCTTCCGCTTGAACGCCCAGCTCCAAACGGCTCTGCTCCAGGAGTGGGCTTTGAGCGTTCTTTTGTTTGGGGGGGGGGGGGAGGTTTTACGGTTTTTAGGGGGTTTCAGGGTTTGTTTGGGTTTCAGGATTTATAGGGTTTTTTTTCCGATTTTTTAGGGGTTTAAGGGCTTAATGTAACACTTATTTTGGGGCTTGCCCGACACGTCGCTGCAAGAGCTTTTGAACGGGCTAAGTATAACTGTTGCGATGATGGTTCGTGCAGTGCTCGGGGAGCTTAGGGTTTCAGATAGGAGGTCGTCCGAATTATGGTTCCTTTTCAGGCACCCTAAATATTAGGTATTTTAAATATTAGGTGCTTATTATTAGAATGAGGACCCAAAAAGGGACCCTAATATTGACAACCACCCAGATAGGAGGTCGAGGGTTCAGGCTTCGAGGGTTTTGGGGCAAGTTTAGGGTCCGGGTGGGGTTTCAGACCTTCCTTCTCAATGAAGTAGGCATAGAAATCAGGTTATTAGCAGCGGTAGCTATAAGTAAGATCACTTGTAGCCCGACTCAACATTCCACCCTGAAGTAGCACCCCAAAGCCCTTAGACTCAGTGCCGGAGCTGGCAGACTTGCATCGGCAATCAGCATTGGCAGCACGTTTAAGTTTGGGAGCATTCTAAACCTGAACACAAAAGCCGGATCTGACCCAACACGGACCAAAACGCCAAGCGGGTCGCAGAACATTTTCCAACCTGGAGCGCTAGAAGGTCTGTGGGCTTGTCATGCAAGTCGAACATATCCCCTCGACGGGGAAGAGTTTCTGCATGGTGTTAGTTGAAGCTCGCGGCTGTCGTTTCATACGGGCAGGAGAGTATTCCTGCTGAAGTCTCACCTTAAACCAGCTGTGGTTCAAGGGAGCTTATCCTAAACCCTCAACCCTCAACCCGAAAAGCCCGAGATGCCTTCAACACCTCAACCCTGACAGCCCCTACTCGCGCGAAGGCCAGAAATTCGAAAACTCCCGGGCCCGGTTCCTCATAGATCCCCAAACCTAAACCCTTGAACGCTTATGGATGGTTGGTCCAAACGCAAAAACGATTCAGAAATCATGTCATTACTGCAAACCTCAAATTCCGAAGCCCTCTCCCAAACTCCACGGAAGCTGCTCGCATGCGGTCCGCAGGCCTGCATCACCTGCAAGGCCTACGACCGTGGAGCTCGCTTCTACTTGAAGACACACAAGGCTCGAAAGCATTTCGGATTTTTAGGGACCCAAAAAGCACATAACCATAATCATTCTATAGGGATATCCCTACCTCATTGGGGTTCTTTATGAAGGGGTTTGTATTTGGGATGTCCCTATCCTAGGTTTTTGCTTACGTGCTTTCTTGGGGCCCTAGATTTGGGGCTTCGGGTTCAGGTGGTGTTCAGGTTTCAAGGTTCAGGGTGCATGCGGTCAGGTTTCCATGGCTGAGTGGAGAGGTTACGGCGACACATGATATGTGTATAGATAGGAATATATACACACGTATATCTGTACATACATCTACCTATCTGTCTCTATATATATGTATACATGTCTGTATCTATGTTTATACATAGCTTATTTAACGCACCGCCCAGACAGATTAATTGATTAATTACTCAAATAGTTACAGCAACCAAATGACCGACATCGGCAAACCCAGTTTTGATTCTTGACATCTTTTCTGATGATGTACTTTATTGAACTAAATAAACAAAATACACTACATGAATTTCATAGCTGGCGGAATCCCGCCAGGGCAGTGTAAGCAAATACAGCAATCACTTGCAGGCAGATGCTGGAGGCCACCCGAAAGAAAGAAAACTGGCACGGCTTGCAAGTGAACCTTGACCCGCCGGACCTGCAGATCATGCGAATGCTGCGATCAGTTGTTGATCTGCTGAGCATGACCAGCAGTGTTTACGGTGGAGCAGACACGAAGCCTGCAAGAAACGCCAGAGTTCACTGCACTGTCTTTGATAGCAGGAGAACAGAACCATGTCGTGATCTCCAGACCTTGCTTGACGAAATTACCCACAGACGAAGCGGCTTCGTTCAGAGACTTGCTGTGTGCATCACAGCGGGCAAGTAGATTGTGAATGCCGGTGTGAATGGCGGGGCGATTCCTCCGCAGCTCAAGGACAGCGAGAGTGCTCAGAAACTGCAGCACCTGTCCTTGTACCTTAGATGGGCAGCGTGCAAGTTGTTGCACGGTGATTACACGAAACTGAAACACAGCAAGCAGAAACAGTTTCCCTCTGCAACTACATGTTCATTGAAGTGGCATGTTGTGGAAGACAGATTTTTGCAGGCGTGAAACGGGCAGATCCTGGCCAGCCAAACAACGCTCGTTGCACTTCGACGGGGCACGGGTCTCCAGAAAGGCCCAGCTTGAATCCCGCCAAACAGCAATCAAAGAAAAGACATCCTTTGACGTCATGATCGTGGAGAAGAAAGGAAAGGATTTCATTTCCCATGTAAGGGAACAGTCTACACAGAAAGAAGGTAAAGATCCGGCATCTCCCCGATGTATTTACATTGGTCGGCAATTGCATTCCCTTCTACCCTGTGGCATGTCGCACCTATGCTCCGGCTCACCATCACATCCTCTATCCGCACACTGAAGCCTTCAAAAGGAGATGGAAAACCTATCGTAGCGCTGCCGCCCTCTACAAGACCGTTCTGATGCGTTCAGTGGGTTTGCCAGCTGATGACGTTTTGTCGTATATCTTACACTGCGAGGGCAACGGTTGTCCTCACTCTGTTGCAGTAAAAGTCCTTGCCGGCCGCCAGAATGTCATGGAACTCAACGGCAGGACCAACATGAAGTTCTCTAGGCTTGCCTTCAGGGAAGCTTTCGCTGTGGCAGCCGACCGCTCCACTGTCGTCACCTACTGACAGAGACGCAGCACGGCCAAAATTGCTGACGAGGCCCGGCATCTGCTGGACATGCAGGCACGTGCGGACATCAGCTCCGATGATGAGGTCGAAATGGATGAAGTTTCTACTGCAAAGTTTGCTTTCGATGAGGACAATAAGCCAGTTGTGTCCGACAACTGCAGACCCTGCGTGGAGGTGGAGGAAACTCTGCTGGATCTGAGAGCTCGAACACAAAGACTGAACGGTAGAAGCCAGTGCTCGCTATGCCCTTCTCGATCTTTTTCAGAGCTGAGACAGCTGTGAACCCATGTTGCAAAGTATCACAGTGCCAAGAACCAGTATGTGTGTCCTGGAACAAAGCAGATCAAGATCATGTTGGCGATGTTCCATCACGCTGCCCCTTCGCAAAGAACTTCATGGAGTCTTCTGTGCGAAAGCACAGCCCTTCTTCGAGAAAATTTGAAGCCACCTCTTGCGAGCATGTGAAATCATATAGACGACAAACACTTGGGATGAAAGTTCGACGCGGCCGGCCCCAGCTATGTGAACGGGGAGTGTATCGGACAAACACTGTCAGTCAGGACGGTGCGTATTATTTTGCTATACACAGGGCAGACACTGGCTATCAATGCTTGAAGACATCACTACGTCACCTTCGTTCAAGCAACGAATAGGGAAAACAACCAATGCATTTGAGAAAGACGAGGAATGGACATACATCAGCATGGACCCTGCCCTCAAGCTGTGGCTGTGGCAGAGTGGATTCCTCAGCCATCTGATCAGTTTCTCCCGGATAGCTGTGTCACCCCCCAGAGTCAGCAAATGCAGCGTGCGCAACGGAGCCACCCGCTGAAAGAGACAAGCATCGTGCTGCTGTTAGGTGGGTTGAGCAGAAGGCCCAGCACGATGCGGCAAGACCATCCTCCCGAAAACACTTGTTATGCATCGCTCAGGCGCATGATGAGCCGCAGCGATGTGAGCTCTGTAGCAAGGTGCTCTGGGTTAATTAGAAGAAGCAAGCTTTCAGCGACATGTCCTCCATCTGGCTACCGGGCTTTGCACAGGCCTGGGATGCAGCAGCAGCGGCCATGGCAGCACGTGAGCATGCGAGCACTTTGCCACCTCATACGTTTGTGGAAGCAGATGTAATGCCAGACCACGTGGAGGCACATGTCCATGTGCTTGCCTGCGAGGGAGCCGCGCATGCTGCAACCCCCAGTTTTGAGTACGACACCATGTCTGAAGAGTTGTTCTTTGCTGAGTTGACCGTTTTGCGGTTGGAAGCACCGTGCCATGATTCAACGCGTCTTCTGAGCCCACCAGCGCAATCGTGATGCAGGGCATGCAGCTTTGCATGTATGGAAGTTGGAGACTTTCCACGCTTCCAGCTCCAGGAAGCACCTTGACCGGCTCAGAAGAGGATCCTGCCCTGTGGCAGTTGCAAAGCTGCAGGCTGGCATGCTGCGCTGCGTGTCCTCTCCACCGTCGCCAAGCTGCATGCTGCAGCTCCGGATGGAACACCATGCGAGGTCTGGTGCGGCTGCGGGTTCTACTTGTGCCGCATCGTCTAGACCGAAATCTGTGTTTGAAACAGCACTTTTCGGAGATGAAGTTGCATGGAGACGTTTATTGACAGTCAGAGGACGTTCAGGTGCGGTGCTGTTTTTAACCTACTCCAATCAGAAAGTTCGGAGCACGTTGTCGCCAGTAAACAGCTGGAGTCTGTTCAATACGTGGCAGCCTGTTGCCCTTTCGGAAAGTCTTTCGATCATTTGTCCGAGTATCAGATCCATGATGCTGGATCCGGTACACCTAGCGATTGTCTACGAGTATGGCTTCTGGAACAACAAGAGCCCTGGTTGACATGATTCTGAATTTCACCATGCTCACAGTAGAAGTTTTTGATCACCGTCCCTTTTATGATCGTTTGGAGTTCATCAAGTGTGTAGCAGCCCTTTGAGTCCGCCACGAGGGGATTTGCATGCAGCAGGACCCAACGAAGAGATCTACAAGGTCTTGTTGGCTGCTTGTGCCCCTGACCGTGCGGAGTGGTTGTTCAACACCATGCGAATCCGTCACAAGATTTCGCAGAGCCACCTGAGTTCAAGCAATTAGGCGCTGCTTGCCCGGATTAGTTCGTGGTCCCGTAGCACTAATGCCCTTCATCGCTCGACCTTGGCGCTGAAATTGCGTTACATCCGTTTCATTAAAGTTTCATTAAAGTGTTGGATCATTTTTTTGCCACCCGGTATCCGATGTCGCACGTGTCACTGCGACAATGCTCCTGGCAGATCTCTGCACGAATCCTTGTCGCCGCGTCGCATCAAATCTTCGAAGAAGACGGTCAAAGCAACGCCGCTTCTCTGAGGAGAATGTGCACCCTTCGAAGTGCAGGTGTCAAGAAGAGTTACAAATTTAGGACAATAAACTCAACCTGACGTCTGACCTGGTCCCCGAGCAAAGCCAGCAAAACAGCGCCAGCTGCTGTAAGTTGAATGACAGCTGCGCTTCAATTCGGAGAAAACGTGCGAGTGAGGCAATTGCTGAAGAAGTTATCATTGAATCATGCAATCATGCTTTTCACGACATGGCTTTATGCACTCAGGCGACGGATGATCAGTAGTTTGAGTCAGTGCCTGAAGTGCCAGGTCAGCTGACTATCTCGCATCATCATATGGGGGCCGGCCATGATCTGAAGATGCTTCTAGCATATTTGGCATGGAAATGCACGTCGCTGTTGCTGGATGCTTGACGTCCGGTACTAGTAGATGTGAAGGTAGTGCTGCAAGACGTAAGTCGTCTCAATCTCCCTGTGCCCTGCCGGAGTGCTGCACAAATAGACTTTGTTCGCAAAATAAAACCTAAAGGTCTCGGGCTCATGCATATATATATATGTATACACCTACACACACACACATCTACAGTAGTCTTTGGAAGCCAGCCTTTCAGACTGCCTGGTACTGCAGCCAACAGGAAGCTCATTCCGAGGATTCCGAGGTTGAGACCGGAGAACCCAAAGAGCCTAGGGCCACTTGCCCAGAGTGGGTTTGTAGTCTGCGTGCCTTCATGGACCCGGTTTTCCCAGACCTGTACCACCATGTCTTACGTTACAGTGCAGAGGCATGTTCCTGTACTTGTCGTAGTCTGGGCTGCATTTGCGGATGTCCGAGGTTTTAATTTGATCACTTCGAGGTTGGGGTCTCGGCTTCAGGTTCACACCGGGTCATGGGTTTGCTTTCGGGTGCCACCACGGCAGGACCGCCTATCTGCAGACAAGAAGCCGCTGAAAGCTGCAAGCAGGGACCTTCCAGGGAAGTCTTTCCTTCGTCGATCTGGGGCTCACCAACACAATTATTTCGGGGTTTAGGGCACCTTCTGAAAAACTTGAATCCATACTCTGTCAGCTGTCCCGCTGACACAACTTTCCAAGAAGTTTGAAAGCCGCAGCCCGACAAATCCTCAGGCCACACAATCCGCAATTGCAAGAGAGTTCAGGGTGTACAGCGGACATTCAAGGTTTGATTTTCTTCTTGTTTCTTTCTTGGGCGGTTTTTTTACATGAGGTTCTAGTTGCAAAGCTGCACTCCCCAACCCTACAAACCGTAGCTCCCGAACTATTCGCCCGAGACTGCGGGAGCCATTCCAAAGGATCTGTCAGTCGCTGATCCGCGGTCTCGTCTACACCGGGAAGGTGGCATCCGTTGAGAAGAGCATCAACTTTTATGAATGCGTTGTATCGTAGTCTGTTTTGCTGAGTTCGATTATCTGCTGTTGTATGTTTACGCAATATGGGATGGTATGACTTACCAGGGTATGTTAATAATGCATGGATACGTATGTATATATATATATATATAGATAGATATGTGTATACCAGTTCAACAACCACCTTCATGTGTCAAACCGTATAGTCTCTGTATTCCCAAATTATGTGTGTCATGTTATGCTATGTTATTTCATGCTGTGCCACATTACTGGCAATATTGGGCACTGGTTTGATGTGATGTGCTTTTCTTATATATCGAACATAGTATCATTCTCTTCTTAGTTCGTGTCATGTGAACTTATCGGTGTTTAATTCTTTCATATGGTTTGGAGTACCTATGTATGTACACATACACACACCGTTCTGTATGATTACCAACTGTTTTGTACTGTGTGGTATCAGCGGCATCATGCCATGTCATCTGTTCCTTATGTTTGGTATCTTCGTTACTAAATACCGTGTTCTATACAATAACATATCCGTACACGCATGTAGTTGGACCGTGACCCATACGCACCACTCTCGTTTTTTTCATGTTTCAGCTGTTCGACTCGGTATTTGCGAAGTTTCCGTTGTTTGGAGCACTTCAGACTTTCAGGGCCTTTTCAGGGTGTCCCAACTTTTCTGCTCTTCTGCTTCTGAGGTTTTGCTCTGGTTTTTCTGGTTGGGGGATGTTGGGGGTGAAGCGGGGGGGGGGGGGGGGGGGGGGTGGGGGGGTTGGTGGGTGGGCCAACGACGCTCATGTCGTAGCTGCTTTAGTTGTTCGGCTTGCACTTCTAACATCTTACTCGGAATGATGTCTCAAACTCTTGACTACAATTTTCTGTTGCGAACCATCCTAATGATAGTCTCTATGCATGTATCGAATCTATATCTATATGCACCTCTCTAAATACAAGGGCCCACTGTGTTCGGCGAAGATGCAAATCTTCAACTTTGCTTTCGCAACGGCAGTTTCTGTGTCGCGGGGTGTAACGCAGTCCAAGAAAAGCATTGCGCCAAACTACTTGCGAGTTGACGTAAGCCTTTTGCAGCCCTGAAAGTCCCTGAACGCCCACGCCAGTGTTTGCAGCATGTCCTCCCGTTGCACGGCGCCAATCGGGCGGCCGTGCAATGTTATGCATCACGCCAATGCTGACTATGTTGTGTCTCGTTTTGTCACACCATGTCATGTCAGTCTGTGCCATGTTATGCTAAGCTCTCCCATGCTATGTCATACTACTATGTCATGTCATGTCTGGTTATGTTCTGATACACTAGGTCATGTTATGTTCTGCTATGTTACATTATGTCGTGTTAGGTTAGGTTAACCTATGTCATTGGTACATGTTGCGCTATGTTGGGAGATGCTAGAGATTCGTCGAAGCTTTGCTCTAAGTCGGCAGCCCGAGATTCCAAAAACCCTTCCCCAACTTTTCGCCGTAAGCCCAGGATCCTAAATCCTAATTTATTAAATTAGGGTTCCTTTAAAGGGGTCTAAAAGGTTACTAAACTATGAGGGATCTATAAGGGTATCATAATAAGGTAGGAATCCCTACCGGGTCTGAAAGAGGAGTTTCAGAGGGTAGGGGACCCCAATGGACCTTGAGCAGTAGGATTTATCTTGGACCTTCTATTTTAAACGAACATAAATCAAACCCCTTAAACCCTAGAACCCCAAAACGAACCTGAGCCTTAGGAAGGTCTCGTCCCTGTCCTTACTTGGAGGTTCATGGGTAGTTATAAGTAGGGTCATAAGTCCTTTAATTGGGATTATAAGTATAGCTACCCTAGATATAACCCCACTTATAACTACCCATGAACCTCCAAGTGTCCTTCTTAAGTTGAGAGACCTCTCAGGTGGAATTGGCGGCGGATCTCCTCAGGGCCATGCTTGGGATTAGCGGAGCCTCTGAGGTGAGCTCTGAGCTTTTTCTATCTAGGGATTTAGGGCTGGTTGAGGATTTGGGTTTAGGGTCGTAGGGTTGAGGATTTAGGATTTAAGGTCTTCGGGTTGAGGGTTTAGGCTTGTCGCAAGTTTATGGCTTGTCTAAGTATCGAGGATCTTGAGTTGAGGGCTTTCGAGGGCACAGGTTTTTCTTTGGTTTCGTTCCGTTGGTGGGTTAGCGGTGTCTTCTTTTTCGAAGCTTTTGGGCTTCAGTTAAGGGTCTAGCTTAGTTCCCTGGCTGGGGTTCTCATGGGCAGTGGGGTTATGGTTGAGGAGTTTTCGGCTGGCCGAGGGTATATTGGGGATTCTTAAACCCGAAACCCATCAGGTGCAGGTTCTGGGGAGTTGCCGCTTTCAGGGCTGAGGCCGGCAGGCTCTTTTCCGCTTGAAGTCTCCGTGCATGCCTTCAGAAAGTATGGGGTTGTTAGGATGCGCTCTGACTGGTCTAGGAACCATACTTGGAGGTTCGTGGGTAGTTATAAGTAGGGTTCTAATTATAACTAGGGTAACTATACATATAACCCTCATTAGGGGACTTGTAACCCCACTTATAACTACCCTGAACCTCCAAGTAAGACAATCAGCCTGTGGGGTAGCAGGGGTTGTAGCTTGGGAGTGTGGGGCTTCAGGGTGTTTTTGTCAGCCGGGGATTTCGGTCACGGTATGGGTGTCCGGGTTTGGCGTCAAAAGCTGCAAGCGCTTGGGGGTGTGTTTTTGTGTGCTCTGGCCATTGGGCTTTCCGTGTTCTGAAAGTCAAGTCAAGAGAAAATCTCGAATCTTGTGTGACTCTAAGCCAAGCCGTAGTAACCTTAAACTTTCAGAGCTTATAAGGGGGCTCGAGGGGTACTATATGGGTCTTAGGGAATTACTTTAAGTGCACTGTAAGGGTTACCATGACGGACTATAACCCTAAACCCTAAACCATCTCGGCAGGCTGCCAGTCAGCATCGAGCTTCACAGGACTTCGATCAGGCCGAGCGGTGTTGTTTTTGGCACACAGGGTCTCCTGCTCGTTTTTTGGAGACTGGGAAGTGCGTTTGGTGGGATTAGGGATTCGCTGGGATTTCTGGGGTGCTAAGATGATTTTTAAGAGGTTTGGGGGGATTTAAAATTTGGAAATATGCAGTTCAGTGTGTTTAACAACTTGTGTGTTTGTGAGTGCGTGTGCCCATCGCTAGCCTTCAAATCTAAGCCTGGTGAGCTAGGGGAGTAGATCGTGGCTGGTTGGTTCTGGTTTGTTCAACCCTAACCCTCAAACTTAAAACCTGAATCCTCTGTCGGGGACCAAAAATTAGACTGTCTGGACTGGTTTTTGAAATTGTAGACTGTATACTACCCAAGCCTCGGAACCCTCAGGAATAAGACTTTCCATGAAGAGTCCATCATGGAGGTGGAGGTCTCGGTTGAAAAGAATGGGAAAGTAGGATCTCGAAGCTCGAGATCCACGGATGCTCGTTTGGAAGCTTCAGCTTTGCAACTGGCGTAACGGATGTGGATTGCCTGAAGTGTGGAGCTTCTGAAACAAGCTTAATTCAGGAGGCTGCTTAGGTAGTAGTACAAGTGCTTGGGGTTCCTGATTATGAGCATACTAGAATATTCACCAAAGCACTAGTCAAATTCAGAAGTCCCCCTATATTACACCCTGTATTTCCCAAATCCCAGCCTTGTCCTTTTTCATGGTTCCCCCAAAAGAATAAACAGACCGGCTAGTAGACCTTCTCAAATAATCCCTACTAAGGGATATAGGTATAGGGCTCTGTCTACTATTCCTAAAAGGACAAGGGTGCCAAATCCCTTATTCCATGAAGGAGTTGGCGTTTGGGGTTCCACGCAAATCCCGAGACGAAGCAGCCCAGAAGTCTCAATAACTCCTCTAAGGATATAGAACCCTGTGGTACCCTGAAAGGAACCCTATCATAGAACCCTTAAATGAACCCTATCATAGAACCCTTAAAGGAACCCTATCATAGAACCCTTAAAGGAACCCTATCATAGAACCCTGTAGTACCCTTGAAGGAACCCTATCATAGAACCCTACAGTACTCGCAAAAGAGCCCTATCATAGAACCCTGTTGTACCCGTAAAGGAACCCTATTATAGAACCTATGGCCCTTAAAGGATCCCCGCTCTGGCAAGGCTCTCTGTGTGGAAGTTCTCAAAGCTCTGGCAGATGCCAAAGGCGGCAGAGTGTATTGTGTGGGTTTAGGGTTTAAGGGGTTAGGTTTAAGTGTTTATATAGGGTTTATCAAGGTTTTGGGGTTTGGGGGTTTCGGGGTTTGTATATATAGGGTTTCAGGTTTAGGGTCTAGGGTTTTCGAGTTTTTGCAGAGTTCTAAGAGTTACTATGAGGCTGTTGCCAGGTTTTATGAGCCAAGATGCAGAAGCCCCAAAAGGCCTCCTTATGTCATACTACTCACCTTGGGGCCAGATGGGTGGTTGTCAAAATTATGGTCCCTTTTTGGGTCCTTATGAAAGTACGGCACTCAATGTTTAGGGTACCCAAAAAGGGACCATAATTTTAATTACCACCCAGATAGAACTTGAGTGCTTTGCAGGTTTTACAAACGGCTTGAGATCTATGCTTCTGGAGCTCCCCAAACCGATGGACCCCGAACCCTCAACCTGAATAACTCCTCTGGGGATATAGAACCCTATAGTACCCTTAAAGGAAGCCTATCATAGAACCCTTAAAGGAACCCTATCATAGAGCCCTATAGCACCCTTAAAGGAACCCTATCATAGAACCCTATAGTACCCTTAAAGGAGCCCCATCACAGAACCCTTTTCTCAACGCAGGCTGAGTTGAAGCCCAGGTTCCTACTCGGTCTCTTAAGGAGCCGAGTTCTGCAACAGTATGGGGCCAGGAGGTTCTGGAGAGAGGTTCCCTACAAAATGGAGCCTGGCTTCAGGGCTCAAGGTTTGGGTTGAAGGGAGGCCCAGAGTAACAGGGTCTCTACTGGGTTCTAAAGGCGTTTTATGCAGTTTTTTTTTGTACGTTCTGGGGTTCTATTGGGTGCTTATCGGTCTCGTTTGACAACCCATGTCAGGAGCAGCTCGGCATTAGGGTTCGCTTCGAGGTGCCGGTCTAAAGAGGGTGTTACGACAGCGAGGAACCAAAGACAGCACCTCAGAAAACTGAACACCTTCAGGTCTATTGGCAGTACCCTAAGCCCCATAAAATCCCATAGTGTTACCCTACCCGGAAGCTTGACCATCGTACGGATTCTCCGCTTGGAGCTTGTGCCTGGAAAGAAACGGAACTCTGCCCGAATGTAGGGTTTCGTTACAGGAGGATCTCGCAGAGCCACCCTAACCTCCGCGTGAAGAGCTCTTCGCCACTGTGACAAGTAGGGTGCCGTTCGCATCCCCATTACGACTCCTTGGTTACATGAACCCTGAACCAAAATCACCACAACTTGAACCCTAAACCCTGTACCCTCAGCCCTTCGAAGCACGACGCTTGTTGGGTATCAGAGCAGGCTACCACTCGGGACACGCTATGAGCCTCTTCCAAGATCTGAAGGCTCGGATTTCATAGTTGATCGGTTTGGGGGTTTATATACCCGAGGCTATTACTAGTATTACGACTACTACTACTATTCCTACTATGACTAATACTACTACTATGCCTGTTTAAGGTTCAGGGTTTAGGGTTTAGGGTTGGGGTTTATATACTCGAGGCCTCGACCGAAAGCCCCATTCAAACCCTAGCAGCCCTACGCGATGTGGGATCTTCGGGTGTATAGGAGTTCTGGAAGACGAGGGGCTAGCTGGACGGGTTGGGTTTTGTGGGGCCCATCTTCGTTGACGACCCCTTCCTCATCTCCTTCAGGAAAATGATTTACCCTGCGCGATATACTTTAAATTCTGAACGCCGAACCCTACAACCCTTGGCTTGTTGGCGACAGGGGCCAGGGAATTTGGACTCTCAAGGGACTTTGGTCTCTTCGTTCAAGGGTCCCCTGCAGCTTCTGCTTCAGAGTTGAAGAGGCTTCGGAAGCATGGGTTGCTGGACCCGAAAGCCAGAAGCTTGAACCGCAGAAGCTCTTTTCCGGGGTGTTGGAGCTACGGGACTTAACTTGAGGCTTGAGTCGAGCTTAGTGGTACCCTCAAAACAACACACCAAGCACCCTAAACTACCCTAAACCCCGAACCCTAAACCCTGAACCCCCGAAGCCCAGGCGGTGAAGCCGGACTTGGAGCTCGACTACGACTTGCAGCTGAGGATGGAATCCCGAGGCCGGCCCCGGCAGGGGCTTTGCACAACAAGCCGGGGGTTAGGGTTTGGTACAATGTACTTGGAGGTTCATTGGTAGTTATAAGTAGGGTTATACGTCCCCTTTTTAGGGTTATAAATATAGTTACCCTAGTTATCACCCCACTTATGACTGCCCATGAACCTCGAAGTAAGGTTTACGGTTTAGGGTATTCGAAACGAGGTCGTAATAATTCGAAGAGGGTTCCTTGTGTGGGCTCTTTACAGGGCTTTTGAAGGCTTCTGCAAAGGATTCTTTACAGGTATTTATGGGTCTTTATGATTTAGATAGGAGGCTGTTGTAGTCACCAAGACTCATGAAAGGTGCGGGTTACGACCAGGATGATTAAAACAAAGGGTTACTATAAGGGCTCCAACAGGATCTAGCGGGTAGGGGCTTAGGTTGTTCCAAAGTTTACGGGTCCATGGGTGTCGGGATTTGGGGTCTGGGCTTGGTGGTCGAGTCGAGTCCATCAGTTGTTTATATGCGGGCCTTCCCGCCCGTTGATTAAAACGAAGACTGGCTAAGACGAAGAGTTAGATGCGATGCTCTGCTGGCTCTGTCTATCTTCCCCCCTCTGGTTGAGGGTTTAGGGGTTTGGGGTTAGCGTTCAAGGTCTCTCGTCAGATCTCTCTCGGGTTGCATGGCTTCTAGCTGTGCTTCAGTCTTGAATAAGAGTATATATCATAAGGGTGTATGTACATATATATATATATATACACATATATATGCTACCCCCCCGCCCTCAAGGATCCACCTTTTTCGTGTGTTTGAGAGCCGGATGCGAAATAGTTGATATTCTATAACGTATTCCCTTCTCTTTACAAGTCCTTCACTAAGTACGCTTCGACTGCATCAAAGATTTCGCAAATCCTACATTCTGCATTTCCTTCATATTCACCCTGAGTTTTTCCAAGCGACATACATTCGCGTACGGCTTCTTCTCGTTGCAAAAGAACGCAAGCTTGCATGCATGTTCTGTGTGTGTATAGCGTTTTGCATGCAGCACTATGGGCTCTGAAGGTAGCACGCAACAGGAGAGCAAAGATATATCATCCCATATAACATAGTATCACGACAAGTATAGATATGAAAAGAGGGCCCTATTTCTACACCTCCCATATATAAGACGCATCGAGATTATAGATAATGTCCGTGAACACGCAATCTAGTGAACCTTTCGGGGTTCAATGCCTTGTATTTCACCAATAAAGCATCCTTTAGATTACATTTTGGAATACTTTGCAAAATTCCACTCTCATAACCTTCATATCTTGTAGAAATCCATCTGAATATCCTGTCGCATACCGTATACAAGACCACCTATATATATATATATATATATATATATATATGATACACCCCGCACGCATGATATTACACATACCCTATAGGACACTTTATACAGGACACTATATAGAATATCTTATAGGATGTCCTGTAGAATACTTTCTCTATGTATCTTGAAACCTTTCATATGGAATGCACTTATATAGAGTACCCTCATGCCTTATTGAATACCCTAGAGCCTCTAGAATACCTTATCATATACTTTCAGTCACAGCCCGTATATCTTTTGAATATCTAGAGTACCTTACAGAATACGACATAGAATACCCTACAGAATACCTTATGGAACACATAATACCCTCTACATATCGTACGCCTCATGGAAGACCGTCTGGAATATTCTATAGAAGACCTTACAGAATGCCCCTATGGCCCTATATATGACAGTCCATGTATACAGCATATATACCTTGAACACATATAACACCGCACGCATTATATTACACATACCCTATAGGGCAGTCTATACAAGACACTATATAGAATATCTTGTAGGATGTCCTGTAGAATACTTTCTCTATGTATCTTGAAGCCTTTCATATGGAATGCACTGATATAGAATACCCTCATGCGTTATTGAATACCCTAGAGCCTCTAGAATACCTTATCATATACTTTCAGTCATAGTCCGTATATCTTTTGAATATCCAGAGTACCTTACAGAATACGACATAGAGTACCCTACAGAATACTTTATGGAACACATAGTACCCTCTATATGTCGTGCGCCTCATGGAAGACCGTCTGGAATACTCTATAGAAGACCTTACAGCATGCCCATATGGCCCTATACATGACAGTCCTTGTATACAGTATATATACACTGAACCCATATAACACTTAGTGGCTCAAAACCAAACTTTTCAACTCTTGGCCCCTAATAAGGTAATCTTATTGCGAAGAATTAAACTTTTTACACCCCATAGGTATTTGGGAAGTAAGAATACCTATAGATATCCTTTCAACGGGCCCAAGATCTGAGAACCCCTCATAAAGAAGCAGCCTATTGGGTAAGGGATTTCTCGGAGTGATCCAGGAGTCGACGAGAATAACCTAAAGAATACCACAAACCTCAAAAGAATTTCGTGCAGGTGACCCTAGGTAATACGTTATAGAATACCCCCTATATACCTCATATATACCTTCTTGAATACCCTATAGCCGTATAGCCTATACATTAGGTTAAAGAATACGTTCTATAAGATAATCTTCACGTTCATGTTGATGCCTTGTACAACCCCTTATACAATGCGTTATGGAGTACCCGATAGAGAGCCCAAAACAAAGTTACATACTAGGCCTTTTATAGGCCTTGTAGAATATCATCTGCAACCCCCTACAGACTAGCTTACAGAATATACACAATGTCTATGATACCCTCTGAGTACCCCATAGGAAGTCCTAAAGATAACCCTATGGAATATTCTATAACATATCCGTCAAATGCACCATAGAATGCCTTGTAGAATACTTTATAGATAACGGGTTAATGGGAGGAAAGTCAGGAGCAGAATGCTCTGCGCTATACCTGCTATGTGTCCAATGAAGAAATCAAAAACAAGAGCATATCGAACACCCTACACGATAATCCTTCTTTACATCGTAAAGAATTTCATATAGATACCCATAGGTTATAGAAACCTTTTATACCTTTATGAATCTTGTTGAATACCCGTTGGTGATTTCGCCAATACTTACAGACCAAAGAATGAACTCTCAGCTTGACTAAGATGTTCTCCACCACTTGCCATCATTTTGAAAAACCGCTCACCAACACGAAGCACCCGAGATCCTCGGTACACATGTTCGGCACATAAAGCACGAGCTTCATGAACAAGTGACATAAGGAAAAAACATTACAACAAAGCTTTAAAGATGCGAACAAGTGCCATCGGGTAGGTAGACGACAAACAGTTCGCTTTCTGTAGGATCTGCAGGCACGGCTTGGTTCTGAGGTTTTTCACTTTAGAATATGTGCTTTTTTAGGAAGCATTATGAGCATCAGCATCGTGTAAACAAGTTGAACTCAGACACGACGTGTAAAGTCTCAAATCTCTGCGATCATCTCATCGGGAAGCGACGAAGCGCGCTCAAACACCGCATCCATATGGCCCGATCGAGAATACAGAACGCAGAATGTGTAAACTGAGCACTTGGCTTCAAACAGCTTCAGACAGTGTGCCCGGAGCCGAACGGAAAAACCTAACTGAAAAAACCTACCTGGAAAAACCTAACTGAAAAAACCTAACTGAAAAAACCTAAAAAACTTAAAAAACCTAAATTCGGGAAGTCCTTCAGAGAGATATCCATGACAAGACTCTCGAGTTTTAGGTTTTTTAGGTTTTTTAGGTTTTTTCAGATAGGTTTTTTCAGGTAGGTTTTTTCAGTTAGGTTTTGTCAGTTAGGTTTTTCAGTTAGGCTCCCTAAACCCCCAAACCGTTGCCCTGGGCCCTTGAAGCCCTTGAAGAACAACTGTGTAACGACGTTGTCGACGGCGCGTACATGAAGCCAACAAACGGTGGATCCATGGGGAGGGGGCACCATATATATATATATATTATATATATGTACACACACGTATTTATAATGTACACATGCGAACTCATTGACTGTAATGGTATGTTATTCCTAAGTAGTTTGGGGCCCGGAGTATTTGCATCCCGAATCCTGGTCAATGTAGCTTTTCTATTATACCGCCAAAGCAGCATTCCAATTAGGAAGGCCCCGACATTACCCGAAACAGTTTGCCCCAAAACCCTGTTGAAATGAAAAAGGCCCATGTATTACAGCTCCTGAAAAAACAATTCCCACTATCTCGATCTTTCCGGACGAGAGATTCATCGGTTGATGGTTTCCGGATTCGGGTTTCGGGTTCGGAGTTTCTCGGCGAAGAGAACTTAGGCTCAGGGTTAGCGTGGTTTGCGAGGTGTTGGCTTTTCGGACGATGAGCCCCATGTCCGTGCTTTTAAGCTTTTTTTGCCCTTTTCCCTTTCCTCTGCACTCTTTCCCCCCTGCCTCAAACCCTCAGCCCGACACCCCGATCCCTGCACTGATCCAAGGCACCAAGATCTCCAAGCCTTACCGTTGACCTGCGGCGAACTTCACTCCATGACCTTTTGAAAGCCCGAATGGGCTGGAGGCAGGCAAGGGCCTGCTCCCCTGTGCTGCATCCTGGCTGCATGTGTTGTGAATTTTCACTATGACGAGGGCAGCATGCTGATTTCATGGTCATATACCAGCAGCACGTTGCATGACTGCGAGGTCATGAGCACGGATACGTGCGTGTTCCGTGTATGCAGACACAGGTACGACGTGTAGAAAACAAGCGAGTGCATACACATGTTTCTATATATGTATGTATGTATGTATGTATGTATTGCATGTATGTATGTACATATGTATATATGTATCCACACACGTACACTTGCAAGTGCACGTACGCACATGGGTACATCCGTCGCCATGCTTGCACATGTTCAGCGGGATAGTGGATTGTTAAATAACAGTCAAGAATAGTTCTATTGCGAGGTGTCATATTGTGTCATGTTAATAAATACCGGTTGTATTCTACTGTCCCACCTTTTGCAAGTGCGTTGAATGATGTAGATGGGTGTGCCGGATTTAGCACCAAACGGTCAGGCTTACATACTCAGACTTCAACATCAGAGACACCATGCGAATGGGATGTTGCATTCTAAGACTCTGTGATACTTCGCTGTCACCTTCTGTTCGGCCTCCGCCAGAAGCAGATTGGAACAACAAGCCCTGCATTCCTGCTGCGGCCGAAGGTGACCGCCAGTCAAGACTCACCTGAGACAGCCTGCCCGCTGTGAGACATATGATCCTGCTTTCTCACTCGTTCAATTTGACCGAGCATGCACGGAAGGAGGAAAGGTGTGCAACAAGTTGTCATCGTTTTTTGACCTGGAAGACGCGAAGCATGTCTAGATGTTCTCGTCACACAGAGCTTCTTAAGCTTCGTAATCTGCAGGGTCCCAAGTCTTGTTGAATACTGCGGCAGGTTGGTTGGTGGCCAGTGCTTAGCTGAAAGGTTCCGCAGGACGAGAAGCATTCGTGATCATGGTAGGAAGACTAGGGGCTATCAGAGCAGCAGTAGCAGTGGCTCTGTCATCGTCGCGACCATCATCGACATCGTCATCATCATCGTCATCATCAACATCATGCTCATCATCACCATCACCTCCACCATGGCCACTCTTCGTCGTCATCACCAGTGTTGCCACCGCCATGGCAATCATCACATCCGTAGCCATCTCCATCATTGTCATCATCGGCGCAGCCACCAGCATCAACACCCAACGCCATCGACATCTTCACTAGGCCCTGTGCCATCACCTTCAACGTCTCAGCGTTATCATCATCATCATCATCACCACCATAATCATCGTCATCATGCCGTCATCTTCAGCTTAAGTAGAAGAACCCTGAGGATAGCCGTCACGAGACCCGTTACGAGCAACATAACGGCCACATCAGTACTACCTAGCCATTGAATGCGTGCCCCTAGTATGTCGAGATGTTGCTTGCTCGTTCAGCCTTTTTGCGCTGAGATCGTGCTGTCAGTGGTGCACCTGATGCATTCGACACGTGCGGGCCAGGTGTACATCACTTCCATCCGATATGAGACTATGCCGGAAGCAGCCCGAAAACCTAGACCCTGATAACTTAAAGCTGTTACCCAGCAGGTCCTGCCGAAAGGGGAGCTTCTGTTCGTCTCACGAGCCGCATCTCAAGTCGACAGTGTGTAGAGCGCTCGGCCTTGCACAGATCATGACTGGTAGGCACCCGAACTGCGATCCCGAATTGCAGGACGCAAAACCGCCGAACTGCCGTGAAACGGTGTCCCACTGTAGACAAGTGTATAGGGACTTGCAAGAGCCTGTGATGTATGTATGCAGGTATGCATGTTTGTTTGTATGTGCGCATCATGGCATGCATACACGCATGCCATGCATGCATGTATGCATGTTTGTATGTTTGTATTTACGCTTGCATGTGTGTATGCATTTGTGTGAATGTATCTTTGTACACACGTGTCCGTATGTGTACAGTTGTACACATACATGTACATATATATATATATATATATACACACACACACATCTCTCGCTCTCTCTCTCTCTCTCTCTCTCACTCTCGCTCTGTTTGGGTTTGGGTATAGTACGTTTATGTTTTTTTATGTATCCAAAGTGTTACTTAGATCAATTCTTGTTTGCCTTGCCTTTTTGCGAGAGGTCGTTTCCTGTTTGAGAGAGACAGAGAGAGAGAGAGAGAGAGAGAGAGAGAGAGAGAGAGAGAGATAGAGGCATCTGCCAGGTAGGGTTCTGGCGTTAAACACGGCGATCATGTGTAGTGGGGTTTGTGGAGCTCTTGTTTCAAACGCATTGGCTTGGTTTGTCTTGGCTGGCCTGTCCGGAAGCCGTTCTAAACCCATAACACCATGGTATTAGAGTTTGTTAATGTGTGTGTGTGAGTGTGTGTGTGTGTGTGCGTTGATGTGTGTGTAGGTTCGTATGTGCAGGGGTATGCCAGGGTTTGCATGTGGTCAAAATGTAGTTTTGGCGGCGGCCTAATTTATGGTGACATGTATATGTATATGTATACACATGTATATGTATGCACGTGTGCTCATATGCATATATACATATATGTTACACATATATACATATATACATATATACATATATACATATAGACATATATACATATATCTATATACATATATATATATATATATATATATAAGATACATCTGGCACGCACAAGCCAGCATACATGACTAAACATATGCTGTGCACGCCAATGAACACGTGCTCAAAGATGTTCGTGGCAGAAGAAGCAAGGTCCTCCCCCGAACCTTGGAACGAAGCCCGAGCCACCGAACCCCTCAACCAAAACCACGAAACTCAAAGCCCTCAAGCCCTCAAAATCCTGAAGTCTTAAGGCCCGCAGCCCCTAAACCCCGAAACCGTTTATAAACCCTAAACCCTAAACTCTAAACCCTAAACCCTGAACCCAGCAAAGATCATAGCAAGCCCGAAACCTCCGAACCCTGAAAGTCAGGCCAAGAGCAAGAATGCCGCTGCGGCTGCGTGGGATCCCCGAAAGGGGATGCGGGCACCTGGTTTGGGGCTTGGGGCTTTGGGGTTTAGGGTGAGGGCTTGAAGGACCTGAGGAAATAGGGCTACCCCGGAAGGGTTACAGCAAAGTAAGCCTGACAGTATGGGGCCCTCCAAGCATTTCCAGCCATTTCCTGGTTGAGGTCAGTGTTCCAGGCATAAAGTTCAGAACTCGGACCTACTTTTTCAACTATATGTCGAAATCATAATAAGGAGCCCTAAAACGGTAGGTCTTTTCGGCTACAGGTACAGTGAATCAAGCTCCGAGGCCCAGAAGATCACCAGTTCTGGCTCCGCGCTCTGGGATGAAGACTTTGGGTTCAGTGTTCGGCTTTTGAGGCCTCAACGGTCGGGGACTCAAAAGTCCTAAGGTTTTGGGGTTATTGTTACGGCTTAGTAGAAGGTTTGGTGCAATGTACGCAAGTTATGTAAGCGCGAGGGTTCGGGGATTTTAGTTGGAGCCAGGGCTTGCAGGTGTAGGGATTGCGGTTTAGGGTGTAACGTTAGGGTTTAGGGTTTAGGGTTTAGGGTACCTGGCCTGGAAACGTCGCTAAACCCTAAACCCCAAACGCCATGCCTCAGACATGTACGCCACACAAACGAGGCGCCGCGCGCGTGATGAGGCCTTGGCCGAGGTGCAATGGGCTTGGGAAGAGGGGACGTAGGGTGGTTTTTGGAGGCTTTCGGGATTTAGCATGTTCAGTTTACAGCGAATGTAGCTACTGAGGCTCAGGGTTCAAAATGATGTAAAGCTTCGAGGGATCGGTTGCATAGATTTGCCGGTGCGTCTTTGTTTTGTCGGAGTCGTGCGGTGCTGATTGTGCTGGGTCAGTGGGTTCATTACGCATTCTGGTGCTTGGTGTGGATCGTCGCATGGTACATGCTCCAAGTACGACGTTACGCGTCTCCTTTCTTTTCCTCAGTCTATAGAACCTACCGAAGAAGCCCAAAGTTGTGTCGTCTCGAGTTGAGGGCGACTTTTGCGACAGCTTTGGCTTAAGGGTCCGACGGCTTCGGGAGGCTTTGTTGGATTCCTCTACCGTTTCTATGCATCTTATGACTTCACATTTTAAAACGTGTCCTTCTCCTTGGTTTTGTAACACGTGGCATTGGAGGGTCTGGTATGACGCGGTCTGGTATACTACCTTATGATCGGCTCTATGTCACAATATCTTATCAAATCAGATATTCCGAAACTATCTGTCAGTGTATTTTCATCGCAATGGCATATTGTAGAGCTAGCTTCAGCCTGAAAGACTTTTCACCTGTTGAAGCCAACACCCTTGCGCGGAGCAACGCCCACTCAATGAGCACCACACTTGGCAACCCTCAGCTCCATTCCCGTACGGCCGGGACACGAACGTTTGCAACATAATAACAATCCTAAGTGTTCACATGCCGGGTTTCGCTGTTGTTTCACCCACGAGGTATTTCAACAGTTCCTTTCATCAATCTGTTAGCTACATTCCCCCCACAAGGTGTAATTAAAGCCTAGGCCCATACCCAAAGCCCTTGGTCACGAAACCTCCATGCCCAGACCCTGCAAGAACCCCTGAAACCTTACACTTCACAACCCGAGCCCCCAAAAAGCTGCCTGAACCTAAGCACCATAAGCCCCTAGACCCGAAACCCGAAACCGCAAAACCCTAAAACCCCAAGCCCCACAACCCCAAAGCCTAAACTAAACCCTACAACCCCAACTACCCCAAACCCCAAATCCTAAACCGCAAACCCTACAACCCCGAAACCTCAACCCTTCGTGGGAGCCCCGAACAGTGGGGAAGGCCGCTGGAGAGATGCCCAGCGACGCAGAGGACTCGGATCTTGAGGCGGGCACGGCCCGGAATGGTCATAGGAGGCCAAAAGGGGTTTTAGCCTAGGACTAGGATAGGGTTCATATTTGGGAATCCCTGCCCCGAGAATCTTAAACCCCTTTTTTGGCCTCCCA